AAAAAATTTTTTTGCGTGTAATTGAGAAATATTTAACAAAATAAATTTAAAATATATTTTAAAATTATTTCTCTCTCCAGCTAGATTATCAGAGTGGAATGTGAGTCTGTATATGAGATTCCATAGTATTCCCGAACAGAATTGATGAATATGGAGGTCTCTTAATGTTTTCAGATCACTAGGGTCCATTTTACAAATGATCTTTCAGTTGAGTAAGTAGCATTTTAATTGTCTGAAGAGTTAACAGATTTCTTTTTTTTTCTTTTTTCTTTTTTTTTTTTTTTTGGCTAGGCAATGGGATTAAGTGACTTGATCAAGGTGACACAGCTAGGAAGTGTCGAGTGTCTGAGGCTGGCTTTGAACTCAGGTCCTGCTGACTCCAGGGCCAGTGCTCTATCCACTGCGCTAACTAGCTGCCCTACCTAGCTGCCCCAGAATTAACAGATTTCAACAGTTCACCTTTATTTCTTCCTTCTGGACCAGACTGCATACCCAGAATTCCATTTTGTAGCAATGTAATCTGTAGTATAAATGGCAAGCAAATTTCAATATGGAACAAATCTTTCTTTTTTCTTCCCCTTGTGATTTACAGCTAGTATGTATATGTGCCTGTGCTTTCTAATCATTCTTTCTTTTTGAATGCATTTCTGTTAATGTGCCCTGCCATGTGTAAGAATTAGTTAAAAGTGATTTACTTCTTATTACACAATATAAAAAAAGCACCAAAGGTGTGCAGAGGTCCATAGAAGAGCTACCATGAGGTGAGGTTGCAAGAACTGGTATGATTTCATCTGGTAGAGAAAATTGAGGGCAGGCTCATTCATGTCACCTTCTTCGGGTATTTGAAGGGCGAGTTATACCAAGATGAGTGAAAAATTATTTTCCATATTTCCTGGGGACAAAACCCAGGGAAATTGGCTCAGACTGCATCATGAGAGATTTAGGTGAGCAATGAGGAAGATTTCCAACCAATAAAACGAGATCGGCTGCTTACTGAGATTGTAGGATCTGTTTTTATGGTACAAACCTGACCAGCCTTTAAAAGAGTAAAAAATTGTCAAGTTCTAAATAGATGACATTAATTCCCCTTTTCCTCCCTTGTTTATTATAAATGTGATCAAAAGAATGGAAGGAAGATGAGCACATTGTAGAGCTTGGTTTTAAGATCTTGGACTTTTGAGCAAAAAACTCTTGTAGAGTAACTAATCTGATCCCCTCATTTTACAAATAAGGCACCCAGAGCCTAGAGGTGGAATGATTTGTCCAAAATCAAGCAAATATTTGATAGAAAAGCTTTTGTCACCAGGGCAGTGTCATCTTTATTTCCAATTTTTACAAAATGGATGCCTTGCCGACCTCTTATGCTCTTTTTAGAGCTGGGGTTCTTCCTAATGGGGATTTTTTGAACTTTAAAAAGAAATGGTTGGGTAATTATATTTTAATGTGATAGGTTTTCTTTGTAATCCTATTTCATGTATTTTAAAACATTATTCTAAGAAGGGGTCCCATTGGTTCCACTTTACTGCCACAGGGGTCCAAGACACAAAACTTTCAGAACCTCTAACACTAGAGAATGAATGAATATAACTTTCCATCTTCAATATCTTGCTATTTCCAGACATTCCTTTTTTTTTTTTTTTTTTTTTTTTTTGCTTTTTGGTGAGGCAGTTGGGGTTAAGTGACTTAATAAGGGTCACACAGCTAGTGTCAAATGTTTGGTCTGAGGCCCAATTTGAACTCAGGTCCTCCTGAATCCAGCGCCAGTGCTCCATCCCAGCTGCCCCCATTTCCAGACGTTTCTGCCAGACCTTGAAGCCAATGTCATGGTAGAAACATTTCCTATAGAACAATACCTTTTCCCAATTATATTTTACTCAGAACTTCCCTAAAGTTTTATTTTCTCTAATAATAAGCTTTTTTTTTTTTAAAGGCAGTTGGGTTAAGTGACTTGCCCAGGGTCGCATAGCTAGTAAGTGTCATGTGTTTGGTCTGAGGCCGAATTTGAACTCAGGTCCTCCTGACTTCAGGACTGGTGCTCCATCCACTCTGCCACCTAGCTGCCCCTAATAATAAGCTTTCTCATTTTACAAGTGATGACAGCAAAATATTTCTGGGTAAATAAAAATTCAGTTAAATTAAAAAATTTTAATCAAAATACAAGTGAAACCCAAGAATGTGTTGCCAAAATGTGATCTTGTTATGAATAAATTCTGTGATTCTTTACAGCAGATGATCATGTGGAAGAAAGACTATGTTTGTAGTCATTTTCCTTAAACTGATGAACCCTCTTCAAATCGTTTGATAAACAGTATACAGATTTTTATTTTCTGTACTAACTTGAAAGAAGGCCACACCCCTAAGATAATTGAGCTGGCAGAGTCTCAAAGGTCGTTAAGAACAACTCCTTCATTTTATAGGTGAAGAGACTGAGGCAGGATTTGAATTTATATTGGAGTTGAGTGCTCTGTGCATTATAACATATTTAGTGTACAATAAAAATAATTACATTTTGATTGTTCAGTCATTTCAGTCATGTCTGATTCTTCGTGACCCATTTGAGGGCTTTCTTGGCAAAGATACTGGAGTGGTTTGTCATTTCCTTCTCCAGATCATTTTACAGATGAGGAAACACATCAGGCAAACAGGGTCAAATGACTTGTCCAGGTTCATACAACTAGTAAGTGTCTGAGGCCAGATTTGAACTCAAGTCTTCCTGACTCCAGACCTGGCATTCTATTCACTGCACCACCTAGCTGCCCTAAATAATTACATAAAATTATGATACTAAAATTCATGTAGCTCTTTGCTTCCTTCTGTATTTTCCCATCACATATGCTAAGAGATCTATAATAAAAATAGCACTTAGGTTTTATACAAAGCAGATTTTGGATTAAAAATAAAGTATTTTTGCAGACCAATAAGGTAAATATGTTCTATGAAGTAGAGAACATTTCAAAAACTTTTGTTTGGGTTGAGTACCCTCTTAAGCTGCTACTACTATTTAAATTTCATTTGGGTCTGGTGGACTTTGGTAACCTTCCTATCATAGTTCTAAGCCTCTGAAGGTTTCATAAGAGTAACTGAAGAAATATGAATGGAGTCTAACTCATTTTATTCCCAACAAGCTTTTTCAGTGAGTTCTTTGGAGTTCCTACTCTATATGGTTAAGATCCAATAAGAATGACTTTGGTTTTAAGCGAAACAATAACAGTGAAATAAATTCTGGTTTCAAATGTCACCTTCAGTCTTGGGGGGAACATTGGTAGTAAAGTGAAAAGAATTCTTGATTGGGAATCAAAGGACCTAGGTTCAAATTCCAGCTTTCCCACTTCCTACCCAATGTTTTTGTCATGCATATCCCTTAGCTTTCCTATGTCTCCTTTTCCATATTTGTAAAATGAAGTGGTTGAACCAGATGCTTTCTAAGGTCCCTTCCATCTCCATGATCCTGTGATATTATTGATTGACATAACTTTAATCTCAAAAACAACTGATCACTTTTGAAAGTCAAACGAACACGCAGGCAATAACTCCTAAACTGATCACAGCTCTAAGTTCTAAAGCTGGGGTTCTTAATCAGGGTCCATGGTTAGACGTCAGGTAGTCTGTGAACTTGGATTTGTCGTTGATTCATTTAGTTGTGTCTGACTCTCCTTGACCCCATTTGGGGTTTTCTTGGCAAAGATTTTGGAGTGGTTTGCCATTTCCTTCTCTAACTCATTTTACAGATGAAGAAACTGAGGCAAACAGATTTAAGTGACCTAGCCCAAGGTCATACAGCTAGTAAGTGTCTGAACTTGGATTGGAACTCATGAAGATGGCTCTTCCTGTCTCCAGGCCTGGAACTCTATCTACTGAGCCACCTAACTGGCCTATGAACTGGGATAGAAAAAAAAATTGCATATTTATTTTCAGTAACTGAAATTTCTTTCAATTATAAATGTAGGCAATAAATATTATTCTAAGAAGGCTTCTTTACCAAATTGCCAAAGAGATCACAACACAAAAAAGGATGAGAATCCATTTTCAAAAGCAAATCTATATAGGCTTTTAAAAATCCCTCAGGAATAGGGAGAGAGAAGAACCCATAAAAAACCTTCTATTATTCAAATAAACCACCATATTTTAAAGCTTACTTGAAAAAATATTTTTTATTTTTTGTTATTTTCCATTTCTATTTCTCTTATTTTAAAATTACTTTTTAAGAGAAACAAGTCATGGGACAGCTAAGTGGAGCAGTGGGTAGAGCACTGGTCCTAGATTCAGGAGGACCTGAGTTCAAATCTGGCCTCAGACACATAATACTTACTAGCTGTGTGACCCTGGGCAAGTCACTTAACCCCATTTGCCTGCCCTCCCCCCCCAAAAAATAAAAGAGAAACAAGTCAGAATATGATAATATGATAACTGACCTTGGTTCTTACAACCCAAATAAAGAATATGATATTACCTACAGCTAACACATGGGGCCTTTTTCCTCCTTTCTTTTCTTTATATTTGATTTCTTCTGTACCATTTTTCCTCTTTTTTTCTCTACAACTCTCTTCTCATCCTACCTTATCGCTCTCAAGATATGAAACTGAAGCATACTTTTTCTTTTACTTACTGAATTAAATTTATAGTCTTAATTTTAAAAAATGAGTTGAACAGTTTATATTTCTCTCTAGAAAACATCCCAAAAGGGAAGTGCTTTTTATTTGTATATTGTCTTAATTAACTTGTTTCCCCTTGTGGGTTAGTAGGCTCTCAGCAGGAAACAAATATTGGCCACCCCTGCCATGGATAAACACCTTTGATTTTTTTTTTTTGTATATGAAATACTGTGTTTTTGAAGTGAGTACTATGCTGTATTGTTGACAGACTAGATTATACACATGCTGGCAAATGTTATTTTTTCCTCAGTCTTTTGATTACTGGAAGAATTTCATGGGCATTCTACTTTCTATAGATTGGCTGCTGTTGAGATTTTGGGCATTACTCTTGTGTTTTATTTTTTCTAGATCCATTTCATATTGCTGTTCAGTCGACAAGGGAAATTAAGGCTGCAGAAATGGTATACCACACTCCCTGATAAAGAGAGAAAAAAGATCACCCGAGAAATCGTGCAGATGATTCTGTCTCGTGGTCAGAGGATGAGCAGTTTTATTGACTGGAAAGATCTAAAACTTGTTTATAAAAGGTGTGAGTAACTCGATGAGAACTTTTGGGTTTGGGGCATGATTTTAGAGATTTGTTCTAAACTTGAAAATTACTCAGTTTTCCAAACCAGTCCTACTTGTTGTCCCAGGCATTGTAAAATAGGAGTCAAATAGTCAAGCCACGAATAGAGATATAGAATTTAGAGTTAGAAGGCATGCTAAAGATCACTGAGTTTGTTCCCCACATCTTACAAGTAAGGAAAATAAGAACCAGAGAAGTTAACTTGCTCCAGATAACACAGCTAGGAAGTGGCAGAGAGAGCTAAGGTTCAAACCTACATCTCTAATTTGCCATTTCCCTTATACTAATATAGACCTTTCTTCTTTCTTAAGAAGGAATGATGGTCCAATTGTTGCAAATAACCTTGAAAACATCTAAAATGAAAGGGGTTAGGATATTTGAGATGGTTGAGGGGAGATAGAGTGGGTGATAAGAGTTAACTCAGCAGGAGAGCAAATATTTAATGCTTTAGATATCAGCTAAGGTCTACTAACTGAAAAAAACCTGCACCTGAAAGAATGCCAAAATCTCTGAGAGCAACAAAGGAATTTAGAGGTCAACACCTGAACAAAAATTGGCACTAGAACATAGTTATTCAACAAGTGGCCATCTAGCCTTTGCTGGAAGAGCTGGATAACCCATTATCTACCAAGGCAGCCCATTCCACTTTGGGGAAAGCTCTCGTTGTTAGGAAGACTTTCTTTGTATTGAACCAAAATGTGTTCCTCTGCAACTTTTTGCCCATTTAAAAAAATGTTATCAAGCAGAATTTGACTTATTTTTTTAAAGCTTAAAAAAAATTTTTAAAAATATTTTTAGGTGTTGGGGTTAAGTGACTTGTCCAGGGTCATACAGCTAGTAAGTGTCAACTGTTTGGTCTGAGGCTGGATTTGAACTCAGATTCTCCTGATTCCAGGTGTGGTGCTCTATCTACTGTACCACCTAGCTGCCCCAGAATTTGACTTTTCATAGTTAAGGTCAGGTTTGTAGTCCATCAGTTCTTCTGCAGAGACTCATTCTTAGGGAAAAAAAAATATAAAAGAATAAATCACATTCCCTTTTCTGCTTTTCTACCCTGTTAACCAGTAAAAAGTAGCATAGTACCTATCTATAGTTCCCAAAGAGCATAATAAGCCACTCCCATTAGCGCTAATAGATTCTTACATTCTGTGAGCCAAGCCAGTAGAACAGCCTTAGAATATTGGTGCTGGGTGGCACCTTACAGCTTTTCTAAATTGGACTGCTTTATTTTTACATATGAGACACATGGGGCTTGGAAAGGTTAAGCTCAGTTTATGTATTACAAGAACCACGTCATGTTCAGCAGTTTTACTGCAAAATGAATTCGAGTGTATTGTAGACTTAAGTTTCTGGAGCAGAAAAGTATGCCCAAAGAAATGTTTTCCAGTGGGAGACTTGCTCTACTTAGCTAGCTTACCTGAAACTTTGGGTTGTTCGTGATAGATACAGTTGTGTAAAATAGAACACATGCATTTGTTACCAGTGGAAACAGTGCTCAATCTGAAGGTTAACATTTCAACATCATCATAGAATGTTAGAGACCATCTAATACCTGTGGCCTTGAGGCTGCAGTTTCCCCATCGTGAAATATAACCCCCTCATTTTAGAGATGAGAAAGGGAGGCCAAGAGGGGTCAAGTGACCTGCCAGGGTCATAACTATTGAGGGCTCTAGCCAGGATTTGGTCTTAAGTATTGTATCCACTATGACGTGTAGCTATATGATTCATATTTTGCTGTATCTAGATTCATGAAAGGGCAGTTGGCAAATAAACAGTTCTTTGATTATGAAGGAAAGGTTCTTTGGAAAGGAAGCAAAATATATGACCTTCTAAATTTTATTAGGAGGACGTATCTCCAAGTTGTTCAGTATTTCAATGAATTTTAATTTTCTTTCTCTCTATTCTAGATATGCTAGCTTATATTTTTGTTGTGCAGTAGAAAATCAGGACAATGAGCTGTTGACACTAGAGATTGTACATCGTTATGTGGAATTACTAGACAAGTATTTTGGAAACGTAAGTTTTACTTTGCTATATGCGTGAAAGTTAGCAGAATCTTTCAAGCAAAATTTACCTTTCCCTTCTATTTTTGTCATTATTTCCTCATCTTTGAGTCTGTACATGAAAATGTCAAACAGATTCGGGGGTCATATGTTCTAGCTGATGTTTAAGCCTGTACCTGAAGGTTTCACTGCCTTCATGATATTATGGACAAGTTGTTGTTGTTTAGTCTGTCTGACTCTTTGTGACCCCGCTTGGGATTTTCTTGGTAATCATATTAGAGTGCTTTGCCATTTCCTCCTCCAACTCATTTCATGGTTGAGGAAACTGAGGAAAATGGGGTAAATGTCATGCCTGGGGTCACACAGCTAGTAAGTGTCAGGGGCCAGATTTGAACTCAGGAAGATGGGTCTTCCTGACTCCAGGCCAGGTGATCCGTGCACTTTGCCACCACCTAACTGCCTCTGCACAAATAGTATAAATATTTTGGAACTTGATATTTTCCCCCTAAATCCATTCCTCTTCCTGACTTCCCTGTTGCTATCCAAGGGCACTGTCGTCTTCTCAGTTACCCATGTTTACAACCTCAGTGTTTTTCTCAACCCCTCATTTTCACTGCAAATATCCGATCGGTTCCCATCATCATAATGATAGCTGACATTTATACAGCGCTTAACTATGTTCCAGTCACTGTACTATGCACTTTACAATTATTATCTCATTTGCTCCTTAAAACAATCCTAAAAAGTAGGTGCTCTTATTATTTGATTGATAGTAACCACAGCACAAGCTTCAGGTTAGTGGTGGAAAGTAGTCATAGAATATCTGTATATCTGTTTGTCAATAGGAAGTGCTATACAAATAAAGATCATCTACTTAACGTTAACCACAGAGCAAGACCATATATTTATTACTAGAAACACTTGAAAGGAAAATGTCATTATTTGTTTTTTCCTGTTTCTGAGCCTACTATTTTAAGCTGTTGTTATCTGTGCCTGGCACATAGTAGGAGCTTAATAATGTTTATAGACTGAACTGCCACTGTGATTAGTGATAGGGTAAGATTGCGTCCTATAGACCCAGATTCTCTCACGCTTTTGTAACTTGTAGACTGTGCATTGTCTCATACATTATGCCTGAACTTAACAATACTTTAAAAAACCCCCTCAGAAATAATGTTGATTGATGAAAGGCTAGCTCTAAGATATTATAGCTTATTCAGGGTCATAGATTATGCAAAATCATTTCCTTATCTGGCATGAAGTAAACTCGATATTCCCTACTCTTCTTCTTATGTGACTTTGGAGGATTGGGGAGAGTGTAGGTCAAACTTCCATTTGTGTGATTTCATTGATTGGCCCCTGTGGCTCTAGTTAAAAGTTATGAGGGAAAAGTTTGTAGTATAGCATAGATAGGTTCTGTCTTCTCTTGGAAAGAGAGAATTTCATATCCGTTAGACATATCCCTCCCTTCTCCCATTCCCTTTGTGCTCACACAGACTTGGGCTGTCTCTCAGTCCTCCCCAAATGTCACTAAAACAATGGTTGCATCTGTCCTGCCTTTGTCTTCTGTCTTCATAACACTGACATGGTACCACAAAGTAAACCACATCTGACTGAAAAATGAAGACGTCATAAGATTTGACTGTGCTTACTCTTTGTTGACTATAAATAATAATAGCTCACGTTTATATAGTTCTTGACATGCATTGTTTCATTTGATCCTCAAAACAGTTCTGTGAGCTCATTGATGTGGCTCCTCCCTCCAGTGGTGTGGACAGCAACCCATCTATATGTTCTCATCTTGTAGTGTGCTTCTTAATGTACTCCCATCTATCCTCCATGCGAGGGCCATCCAGGGTGTTAAGAGTAGTTGTCTATCTCTCTTGACATTGGTGGCTACCACTGGTCTTTCCATCAGTTACCACTCACTCTCACAATATAACCAGCCCATCTCCTTTTCCAGTCATACACTTCTTATATGATATCCTGTATGCATGTTCTCCCTTGTATTTTGGGTAATATATTGAGGAACTTTATGCCCACCATGCATTTCCCCATTGCCTTTTGCATTGATTTGCAAGCCTCACTGAATAAATATTGATGTTGAAAAGATGGGCTTTGTTTTCAATAGGACATTGGGATCATTAAAAACTCTGTGTTGTTTCTAAAAAGTTCATCCTACCCTTTCCCTCCTATTCAGTACTGGCCCCACTTTATTCTCCATCTTCGCTGTCCAAAGTGTAGACCAAAATAGATTGAGACTAATAGACTGAGTCTGTAGGCTGTCCATAACAATTTCACTTCATAGTCTGAACAATAGACAATTTTCCTCCACTTGGTTTTTTCCCATCGTGGATAGCTAGGCCAGTTTGTGTGTGTGTGTGTGTGTGTGTGTGTGTGTGTGTGCGTGTGTGCGTGCATAGATCTCATTTAGTGGGCTCTGCAATATTCTGGAGCTTGATGCAGTCAGCTCCATGTAGTCTCAAAGTAGAAGACCCCCTTCACGTGGGGCTTAGGCTGGACTTTCTTTCATAGCTGTGGCAAACACCTCTGTAAATATCCGACCGCTCTCCATTATATACCTTGCTCAATGTTGCTAATCATTGGGTAATTGAATAGTTATCTCAGTTAACTTTTTTTTTCAAGAAATCTTACAGATTTTGACATGCATAACTTCTAAATAAGGTTCGTTGTTGTTCAGTCATTTCAGTCATGTCCAACACTCTGTGACCCCATTTGGAGTTTTCTTGGCAAATATACTGGAATGGTTTGCTGTTTCCTTTTCCAGCTCATTTTACAGATGAGGAAACTGATGCCAACAGGGTTACGTGACTTGTTCAGGGTCGCACAACTAGCAAGTATCTGTGGCCAGACACTAAATAAAGTACTTTTTAAAAAAATAAGAAGGGAACTATCTTAAGAACCAAAATATTTACCTTAAAATTCTTTACCCCTCATCTCACCCAAAAGTCTTACTTATTTTTACAATTAAAATACTAATGCATTTGCATCATTTTTATTTTTTAGGTTGAGTCTAATTAAAACATACTCAAGCAAAAATTTCAAAATAATTGCAATTGTTCATCGGGGAATTGAGAATTATAAATGGAGCCTTTAGGATAGGGTGTGTTAATGTGAAATTAGAGAACTTATTTTTAAAAATTATTTTGATAACTGTATTTCAGTATAATTGGCTTCCTTCATAATCCTGTGTATCTTGTATTTGAATGAGCCTTATGTACTCAGAAATATTATTCTGAGAAGGAATCCATAGACTTTACAAGACTGCCACAAAGGGATTCATGATACAAAAATGGTTCAGAACCCCCACTCTAGAATTTGAAATATGACTCATCAAGACATTTTTCCTTGGTTTTCCCAACAAGGAAAATATCTATTAAGTTCTCTACTTGGGGAGGTTAACTTTATGCCATTCCTCTTCCCCTTACTCCTCAAATAATAACATTTAAATATTTTCTGACAGACCTGTAGAGATTTTATATATATATATATATGTATATGTATATGTATATGTATATGTATATGTATATGTATATGTATATGTATATGTATATGTGTGTGTATAGATAGATAGATAGATAGATAGATAGATAGATAGATAGATAGATTTAACAGTGTTATTTTAGGACTACATTGTTTAAAACTTTTCCTGGTCTCACTCCCAGCTATTCTTTTCAACCCCATCTTTGGTCAACAATTCATTTATTACCATATTTATGAGACACTTATTAATTGCTTGCTTGTGTGTAGACTACTGCTAGATACTAGGTGAAATAACAAAGTTCAGCTAAGACAAATTTCACACCCTAGAGGCTTCATTTATAATTCTCAGTACTTTCCTTACAAAAGAACTACAAATGTTTCAGAAAAGTTTACTTGATTTTAACTGGACTCAGTCCTTGCCCTCATGGAGCTTATAGTCTAGTAGGAGGGTAAAGTTTCAACACAGATTCATTTCCTACCAGCTAGCTAGACTCCTTGGTATCATCATTCCCCCTCTGAGGGGGATTGAGATTGCTTCAGCTTTGGTACTCACATCTCGTCAGTATCCTTACTTACCTCTCTCCCTTTGATTAGAGGCTGGAGGTTAGAACAAAAACAAAAACAACTCCTCCCAAAGCCTCCTTTTAAAGAGGATTCAGAAGCTCAGCCAGCTCGTTATTTCCCTCCAGCTGCACTGACTGATTTTGACTCCACTATAACCTTGCCCCATCGTTGGGCACTCTCTTGCACTGTCCCACCTATCCTACCTTTCAGTTTTCTTTTGTGTATTGTCTTTTCCCCATTAGATTGTAAGCTTCATGAAAACAGGGGCTGTCTTTCTTATTTGTATCCCACTGTAGTACAGTTACTGGCACATAGTAGGCATTTGATAAATATTTATTGTATTGTAGTGTAATATAGATAATATGAAATGATATATGCATTAGACAGGTGAAAAAAGCAGTCTACCTTGCTGTAGCATAGAATACTGAAAAACTGGAGAAAGTTAAAAAGTTGTCATCTGTCCTCTACTTTGTTTTGTCATAGTACTTTGTCCTAAATTGACCTAGCTGTGCTAAATGTGAACTAGAATTGACTTTTGGTCTCAGCTTATCTGGAAAAATTTGAGTCAGAGGCCTCAAGACAATATGCTGGTTCTCAAGAGAACCTGACTCACTCTTTTTACCAGTAATGAATGTGAAAGTGCTAGAAGGGTCAGTGAAGAGTGAACTCTTCTCTTGCTTTAATCTTCCATTTTATCTTGAAAGAATTTTAGCCCTTTTTTCCCTTTTCTCTTTTTCTTTGTTTTGCTGAACCAAAATTCAGTGTGATAACAGTGTATTGGTGATTAAGGCCTGATCTAAAACTGCTTAGTTTGATTGCTTATGACCCTAAGATGTTCATTAATATTGTTGATGATAAGTAAAGGCTTCCGGTATTTCTCAACATTGCTCTGTGTCAGTAAAAATAAATTTCTTTCTGTAGGCTTTTTCTTTGAAGGTTTCCTTTGAAACATTTCCTCCTTGCTCCCAAGGAAGAATTTTGCAGAAGCTGTTGGGACTTTAAAGAGCCCCAGATATCTGTTAATAAGATTAAATTATTAAGAATTAATAAGGGGTAAAAAACCAACACCTTTCTCTGGCTGGGGGAAAAAAAATCTTGCTCTTTATGTAAATTCTATCTCCTTTATAGAATATTAAAATTCTAAGCAATTCTATAAACAATTAAATGATTGCATCCTTTACCAAGTGGTAAGTACTAGCCCCCTTTTTGTAGAGGTTAAAGTGGAGGTCAAGGGGCAGCTAGGTGGTGCAGTGGATAGAACATTGGCCCTGCAGGAGGACCTGAGTGATTCTGGGTAAGTCACTTAACCCCAATTGCCTCGCCAAAAAAAAAAGAAAGGAAGAAAGAAAGAAAAACAGAAAGAAAGTGGAGGTCTTAGAACAGGAAAGAAGGCTACATATAGAGCTTGAGCACCTGGATTTGAATCTCAGTTGTTCGGCTTAGTACTGTATTCCCTTGGCAAGTCAACTTGCTCTTCCTGGGTCACTGTTTCCTCACTTGTAAAATTTAGAGGATTGGATTAGATGGTCTATGATGTTCCATCTAGTTGTACTTCTCTGATCCTATATGTACTGGGGTTTTAGTATATACTTTTAGATTATGCATATGAACGTTCAAAAATATTTTGGGGTTTTATCTTCTAGGTACAATTCTGTCATGTTACTGTTCTATTTGGCTACCATAGTATTGGTTTTATACCTTGAACTTTTGCTATCATATACTATTTGATGAAAGGGACCTTAGAACACATCTTGTCTTATGTCTTACTCTGCCTGGCATTTTCCAGATGAAGAATCCAAAGCTGAGTAAGGTTAGAATGATTGCTTTTAAGTCCTAAGGGGCAGAGCCAGAATTCCGTCCCAGACCATCTAGCTGCAAGTCTGGAGCTCTTCTCTCTATACCATCATGGTTCTGTCCTCATCTTACCCGTCTTTATTTTTCAGCTACTTTGACCTCTGGTGACTGCAAATTTCTTAACTCTTAGTGTATCTGCCTTGGTTTTAGATTCTTAGAGGCTTTGACTCATGAACTGAGTTCATTAATTCATTCATGAAATATGGTGGCATAGTAGATAGAACCCCAGACTTGGAGTCAGGAAGACTCTTCTTCCTGGGTTCAAATCTGGCATCAGACAGTTACGAGCTGTTTGACCTAAGCAAGTCACTTAACCCTGTTTGCCTCAGTTTCCTCATCTGTAAAATGAGCTGGAGAAGGAAATGGCAAACCATTCCAGTATCTTTACCAAGAAAATCCCTAATGTGGACATGAAGAGTCAGATACAACTGAAATGGTTAAACAACAACAATGACAACATGTTCAAAATGTCCTGAGTTCAGAGAAAGGGTTTGACTTTTTATTTGTTTTTGTACTATGGACCTGTGATATTTTTGATTTAAGGACAGTCCTGTGATAATGCAGCCAAGTAACTGTTATAGAATTTATAGTCTCAAGACTTGCCTGGGGCATTGAGAAGCTGAGTGACCTGACTGTCTGGGGGGGTCCCGCAGTCAGTGTGAATCAGCAGGTTGAGATACCAAGATAAATAAGAAATGGTCCTGAACCGGGAGCGGTTTATATACTGTGCTGGGGCTGTTTGGCTTTTATGTTAGCTGCCTGTGTGTGCCCTGACATCTGATCAATAGCTCTGTGTTTCTTATTCCTATCTGACTCACTTCCTCCTGCAGTTTGTTTAGAGACCTCAGCCCTGCCACTGTCTACTATCCTGCTGTGTCAGAGAGCTACCTTGCAGTAGACACGAGGCACATAGGAGCTGAAAGGATGGGATTTGGGTTCAGAGGACCTAGCTTCTAGGCTTGATTCTGTTGTTTACTACCTGGGGGAATCTTAGGCCCCAGTTTCCTCATCTATAGACTGTGGGACTAGATGACCTTTTAAGGTCCTTCCCTCAGCTCTAAATCTAGAATCCTGATTGATGATTCATCTAGCTGATGATAATGAAACAAGGAGCCTTAGAATTAAGTCATTGAAGCCTCATTTAATCTTGTGGGTTCAAAATAGTACTTCCATTTCAAAAGCACTTGAAAAATGCTGTGGAAATAGGAGGCATCATTCAAATAGTATTGCTCAGTGACAAGCAGGTGGCCTTGTTGCCGCTCTTTGCCTTTCTTTCTTGAAGAGGACCGTGGCATCAGGGAAGTGATACTGTGAAATGCAAGTGGATTGGATTGAAGTGAGGGAGGGCTATTCAAAGTCACCAGCCTCACTCTCTCTCTGGAGCCATCTGGGTCCAGTGGTGAAGATATAGACCAGGAGAACTGGAGATGCAGTAGGAGACCTTGGCCTTTTCAAGCTAAGGTCTTTAACAGGTCTCAGTGGGACGGAGGCAGTTGCCCGCCCACTCAGTGATTAAGGCTAAATAAGAAATGAGGCGAAGAATGGCCTCTCTAAGAAAAGAAAAAAAGTAGATCTGGAAGGGGAAGACCTTCAGGTTTCTGGCCAAAACAGAATTGCTATTTACATTCATTCTGAGCCAATCTAGGCCCAAACAGTGACCAAGTAGGGCTTGGCCTGGGCCCTGTTGTTGGCTAATCAATGAGGTGGCCTGGTGGATAGAGAGTCAGCCTTGGAAAAAGGCACACCTGAGTCTAATTCCTGCCTCTCATGCATACTAGCTGGGTGACCATGGGCAGGTCACTCAATGTGTTGTTGCTAATCTATGTCAAGAGAAAGGATTTTCTATACCAGTATTCGACAGGCTGAAGAAAGACTGGTCTAGACAAAAAAGAAGAAGAGAAAGAGCAAACAACAACCCCCAAATAATGCTGAAAATAAATTTTCAGCAGTCAAATAATGGGTCCTTATATTCCTCTTGAACCTCTATCAACTTGTTTCATTATATTTATGGAACATTCTTTTCCCTATTGTTGTGGGGATCATGGGTAGGAAGAATATTTTAAATATTTGTGGGCCGGCCGAGGTTACACAAGCCTCCTCCTGTCAGTGAAGAATAAAGAGGCAATCATGCCAGCAACCAAGTTTTGCTGAAATGGCTGTTTGTTGTCATAGCCTTCTGTTTATTTTTTTAGATGCTCTTTGATTCAATTGAATATGTCAAATGAAAAACAATTTCCTCCTGGAGCCTGTAAGTTTATGGACTCAAATCTTTAAAATATTGAGCCATTTGCTGAAGTATCTGTATCCAGAATGCAACTTAATATGCTTTAGGAACCAGGAAACCATTTTTCCTGGGAGCCATTTATTTGCTGTTACTGTGTAGATTTTGTTTCACTTACGTGGGCTTAGCTGCCTGATGCCTGTGAAAATTTTATGTCTGATAGAATTTTAAATGAGAAGAATTGATGTTATAGGAAATGACCCTACCAGCTACTACTATAATTTAGCAAGGAATTATATCAGCCTTTCCAAATGAATCTAAGTTTGCTTCAACCCATTAGGTAACATAAGAAAAAACTAATGATTTGGCAACAACCTACTTCTGATAGAAAACCATGATTCTTTTTATTTACCTGTCTGACCTTGGGCAAATCACCGAATCTTCCTGTGCCCTCAGTCTCCTTCTCTGTGAAATGTGGATTAGATGGCCTCTGGGGTCCCTTCTGGCTCTAAATCTGTAATCCTGAGGCAGGGCAGCAGGTCTTTCCCCAACCTGTATAATTCTGTAATTTCCTGAGGGAATGCAAAGGAATAGCATAACCCCTAAATGATGAGCTGCTGTAGGAAAAAAAATTTTTTTGGTCATCCATCCAAGGCCTGAAAGGCTGAAGCCCTGCATTTATCTGTTCTTGTGATGCTGTATTATTTTGTAACCTTAATCTACCACAAGGGTGCATCCATTGAATAGGTTTGGTATTTGGACAGATGCTGGCTTGTGAGTGTTGATAATGCTACTACAGGTTTGTCTTATATTTTTTTTCATCCTACCAGGTCTGTGAGCTGGATATTATATTTAATTTTGAAAAGGCATATTTTATCCTTGATGAGTTTATCATTGGTGGAGAAATCCAGGAAACCTCAAAGAAAACTGTTGTCAAGGCTATAGAAGACTCTGATATGTTACAGGAGGTATGTAAAGGCATAGAAATGTGAGGGGGTTTCCTCATGTTGAAGGAGGGTTGGGGAAATGAGAAAAGAGGCTTAATTATCTCAGGGCCTGTTGTTTAATGATAGGTTTTTGTTTGTGAATAAAGAGCGCCTGTAAACCAGAGGAAGATGCTGTCAAAGGTAGTAATTCTTTGCGGCTATTTTTAATAAAATCTATTTTTACAGCTTGAAAAATTAATCTTGCAAAAATGTCTTCTGCCCTGGGGAAGCAGAGTCATCATAAATCACTATGCCATTTGTCCAGAGGTATTAGAGCTTTATTATTTAAGTTGGAGTTTATCATTTTAATTAAAAATTTTCAGCACCTCCCGGAGAGAGCCTCTATGATTGTTCCTATTTTCATAAATAAATTGAGAGCAGAGTGTCTTAAGTACCAAGGTATAAATAAACAGGGATCTACACCCAAGCTTCAATTTCTGCTCGTAACACTGACTCTACAATAATTCAGATGGATTATAGTGAAACTGATTTCAGAAGCATGATGGGAAATATTCAAGTTCCTGACATTTCACAATATCAAGGCAAAAGTGGCTAGAAGGTGATGCCATCTTCTGTGATTTCCTTTTGGAGGCAACTAGTGCCTTTTTAAGTACCTTCCCAAATATGTCCATGCCAGGCTGTTGTTTCAACCTCCTCCCTACCACAGCTTTGGGCTCTGCAGCTTGGACTACCCTGGGCTCCATAATTATGTCCTTAATTATGCCCAGATCCAGGCCCCACAGCACTTCAGACTATTTCTATGCCATATACTTCACCCTTGCTACTTCCAGCTCCCCTTTATTGTTGTTTTCCCTCATTAGAATGTAAGCTTCTCATGGGCAGGAATTGTCTTGCTTGCATGCATTTATTTGTATCCTCTGTGCTTAGCACTGTGCCTATCATATAGTATGTATTTAATAAATTTTCTTCCTTCTTTCCTTCCTTCTTTCCTTCCTTCCTTCCTTCCTTCCTTCCTTCCTTCCTTCCTTCCTTCCTTCCTTCCTTCCTTCCTTCCTTCCTTCCTTCCTTCCTTCCTTCCTTCCTTCCTTCCTTCCTTCCTTCCTTCCTTCTTTCCTTCCTTCCATTTCTCTCTTCTTCATCATCTTCTATCTCTCTCCTTAAGGGTAGGAAGGAAGTGTTGAATTTGTATTCCCAGGGCCTGGCACAGTGACTGGTACAAGGTGGGTTCTTAATAAGTTGATTTGGAAGCAGGAGGCCAACTTAGTTAATGGTCTCTTGAGACCTATGAGAAAGGAGGCAATATTAGCCAAGGTCTTCTTAGAAAACAAATTTATAAACCGCTGATGATCAGTGATTTCTGCCTCTTCTATAACTAGGGTGAGTAGAGGCTGAGGTTATTGAGTTTTAAGTGCCCTAAAAGGGCCGTGTGTTCCCTAGGGTAGTGGAAATACAACTGACCTAGGTTCCTATAACCTGGGTTTGAGTCCTTGCTCTTCCATCGACTAATCCTGTGACCTTGGATTTCATTTTACTTGTTATCCCCATCAGTAAGATGGTAATAATAATAATAATACCTATATTACTTACTGGATCATTGTAAGGATCAGATGAGATAATGAATATAGGTAAAATGCTTTGAAAACTTTAAAGTGACTGTTATATAAATACATGCTACTGTTTTTTCCTATAAATGGTTTCTAGGAACCTTAGAAAATGGTTTGCAATTTATGTCTACTTTGTATTTATGTGTGTGCCATAGGAAAATAATTTTAAAAGATGTTTCATGAACTAGTGATTTGGAAATCCAGTGAACATAGCTTTCCTTGAAACATGATGCTCTTGGGGTCCATCTGGTAGTATTTTTTTAAAGGTGAGATGAGTTTGTTGAGGTGGATTGAGTTTTAGATGACATCAGGCCAGTTTTTTCTGAATTGTGCCCTGTAGGAAACAATGACCTTGTAGGATATTTGATAGTTCCGTTTCTAGTTAAAGTTAAAGATGAGTTATTTTAAGAAGGTCCTTTCAAAGTTTTGTATTCAGAGTCCTAATCAAATTCACATTTCTAGCAAGCATTTGTAAAGAGCCAGCAGCAGTTTGCTGGGCTTTTTCCTTTTTCCCTTTCCCTGTGCTTACTGTGAAGGTTGGAAGAAAGAGGCAGGGAATTCATACATTGATAGAAAAGGACTGACTTTCCTCAAAAGCTGAGGACCCATAGAAGATGCCCAGAAATCACTGAGTTGGTATTGCTGGATGAACTATGAGGAGGATGGAGGTGGATTTTTGGTAAATGGTGGCAGTGAAGGAGACCGTAGCTGAAAGATGAGTAATGTGCTGAGGCATTTTGGGCAGTGGCAGCCCAAGAGTGGCCAGGAACTGGAATAAAGGTTGCTCACAATGAACTGGTCTTTGGACTCCCCCTGGCAGTGCACTAGGCGGTTGGGACTTGAATTATTAGTGTCAAGTTTTTGGCAAGACTGCGACCTGATCCCACTGTCTGCTATCCATAACTATCCCCTTTTCTATTTCTTATGGATTTTGTAATAAACTTGCTCTAAATGAAAATGTTTTGGTAACTTTGGTGGTTTCAGGACACAAACCAAACTCAGTTGTTAGAGGTGACTTCTAGGTGGCGCTAAACATGAATTGTGGAGGGTAGTATTTATTAAGAAGACTTTAAGATTGAACTTCAGTTGGTGGGTCAGTTTTTTTTTCCAGTGATTTGTGTTATAAGTTACATATAATAAGAATCAAGCTTCAAAATTAGTCGGTATGAAGGAACTCATGTAAGGGTAAGTGAGGCTTTTGAGCCCCTCTCATGAAAAAAAAGAAAAAGAAAGAAAAAAAAAAAGAAAGGGCCCCAAAAGAACAGTCAATGGTAATAGAATCAAGGTCGTGTAGTGTAAGTAGCATTGGCTTTGGAGATGGAGGACTTGAGTTAATCATATAAATTTGGCCAAGTCACTTTACTTCTCTGACCTTCAGCCACTCAGAGTACCACTTTCCTCATGTGTAAAATGGGGATCAAATGAGAGAGTGGATGTAAGCTATAAAGCGCTATATACCTCCAAAAATCCTTCTTTTCATCTTTATTAGGAGCCTTTTCACTGAAAAAGAATATAATCTCTCCATGCCTTAGGAAATTATTTCATGGGTTTCTTTTGCATGCCCCACCCTAATCATCGGTTAGTGGTGAACCAAATGGTGATGAGCCTCTTTTCACTGATACAGGCTGCCTCACCCCCAAGAGAATGCTGTCCCTTGAAGTGTGAAGTCTTTTGAGCTTGATAGGATCTGTCAGAGCTAGAGATCACTGGCATAACCTTGGAGATTCCAGGGACAGTTTCATTCCTTCATGAGGTTTTTGTGGCGTTTGGGAAATTTCCTCATCCTAGACTTTTCAAAGGCAAAAATAATTTGTTTACTCTGGTCAGACAAAGACGTCTCCCCCTGGATGATTCTGTCATCTTTTTATAAGTATTTGGAAAGACTGTTGAAGAACCACAAGGTGCTTGAATGTACCACTTACTCTATTGACAGGTAATTGTTGAGCTTAACCCTGAGGAAGCAGAGTTGACATCAGAGACTATTTTTGTCACTTTTCTTTTTTTACCATTGTCGCCTAGCCCACACCCTACATCCCTCACTGACTCAACCTGTGGACCAAGGTGTTAGTCAAAATATGAAATGTTATTACAAAACACAACATTATGGAGAGTTTGCAGAAAAATATGACCCAGGGTCCATTGGCAGAACTCTAACCTCATGAAAATAGGAGTGATGTTGATAAAGATCAATAGTCTCTAGGCTTCGGAGTAAGCCCTCCCCCAAAACTCTAGCATAAATTCTTAAAATAGATGTTTTTTTCATACTCTCTGGGCAAGCTCTGAAAATGAGATGGAAGTTTGGGTACAGAAACCAGAGATGCCTTTTGAAGGGTACTGATAAATCACAGGACTCTATAGCAACAAAGATGATGCCGATGTTTTGAGGGTGAAAAAGTTCTCTGAGAGAAGGCTCTGTCAGCCTTTGATTTACTCCTTGGTTTTGCAGCTAAGGCAGTGGTGGCCTACAGCCCAAGAGGGTCGGGAAGCTGCACGTGCTTTACTCCATCTTGATTAAAAAAAAAAGAAGAAGCAAATGAGCAAAAAACCAAAAGCCCAATAACTTCAGTATGGCTCTAGGAACTTTTTCAAGGATTCAAGTTCCAGGAATGTTGCTGGGGTCAGTATCCATTCAGATTTATGTCCCATGCCATCCACATTTTCATCAGCATCTATAGTTACAAATTCAATACATCACAATCCTTGTTTGTGAAGAAGATGACTCTTAAAAAATTTTAAAGTGTGTTCAGCATCTGCCATTTAAAGAAGGTGGAGAAGTGTATAGGACTTTTTGGAAAGATTGTCATGGTAGTGGGGCATGGAGGGAGCTGAAAGTTTTGCCATTTTTAAAGACCCCTCAGCTATCCTCCATTACTTGTTCCTGGAGTGGTTTGAATAGCTGAGGTTTTACCACTCCAAAGTCCCTTGGATATGTCAAACTATTGCCATAATGCAGTGCTGTTGGCTGAGTGCAGTTTATAGCAAAGTTCACTCACTCCTGGTCTTTCTCTGAGTCACCTCCTTGGCTCTGTACTTTTATTGTGGCTGTGTACATTCAGTGATCTGACTGATAAGAGGAAAAGTCAAGGTGTAATATTCTGAATGGTAGCAGGAATACGGTTTTCATTAGAAACTTGCATTAGACCTATTATATATAGGTGATGACAGTTGTATGAATACCTTTGTGGCCTTCCTATCCAATATGCCTGGATGGGTCGCTCAAGATCATCTCAGTGTAGATGATGATAATAACATTACTACTAAAACTGATGTTGTAGCTAGCACATTGCTCATCAGTCCTTTGTTTCTTAACTGTGTTCAGAATGTATGGTTTAGGAACATTATAGAGCTACTAATAAATGACTTCACCTCACATGTATTTATCCTTCAACATGTATATACATATGTGTGTATGAAGATATGTGTGTGTGTGTATATACACACATGTAACATATAAGAATAACAAATTTATAAACCTGGCATCTATTTATTTGAATAGAATATGTTATCTTTTAAAATAGAAAGTTATCTTTTAGAATTTTCGTTTTCATAGTGCAAATTGAACTGAAAGTTGTGATTTTTCTGAGTAATTTTGATGATTTCATTTTCTCTTTCAGACAATGGAAGAATACATGAGCAAACCTGCATTTTAACTGAAAAATCTACTTGACAACCCGATGATGCTGCATGTCATAAACCTGTAAAACTTCAGCTGGATGTGGTTCTTTTCTGATGTGCCAGAGCCTTATGCCAAAAATAACTTAAATGGATTGCGTGTGAAATTTTCTGGATACTTTGGGATACTGTGTTCACTACCAAGATTTAAAACTGTAGCATATTTGTAACAGGTGCATATCTATATTATTCTCTGTACATGGATTCTCTCGACTGGAACTTAAAACAACCATCGTTCAGCAGATTGCATATTTTGTTTGTACAATGATTTTTACCAGCAAAGTAATAATTTTAAAATATTTTTGAGAAATGAGCTATGCTTTATTTTTGCTAGTCTTCTCAAAGAACAAGTTGGTAACTATTTTGTAAAAGTTATGAATGTACTGCATATCTTGGACTAAATTAATACTTTGGTCTAACTACATAGTTCTTTTTTTGGTTATGATTTCATGCATGTCAAAGTAATATAAAAGGTCAGTTATTAGATAACTGTAGGCATATATATATGTGTGTCTGTGGGTGTATACATGTATCCATCCATGCGCGCGCGCGCGTACACACACACACACACTCTCACACACACACACACACATCTTTAGCCCATTGTAGCAGGCTTGACTGTCTTATCTTGAATTTCTTATTCAGGCTTGACTTTGGGGAAATCACTGCAGTGACAAAAACACAACTACCTATCATTTAAAACAAAAACAAAATCTTCGGGAGCAGCTCTCTGGGATGAACTTATTCCAATAAAATTTTGGCAGTCAGAATTGTAAAATATATGAAGCACCCCAATTTGTATATTCACAAAAATCCTAGAATTTTAGAGTAGAAGGGAGTTAGTTGAGTGGCTAGTTAGTCCAGCCCATACTCCAAACTTACTAATTTACAAGAATGTTTTTTATAACTTTTTTTTTTAACAACTCATGCTTTTAGTGACAGTGTCTATGACTTCCCTTGAGAGATGTGATAAGATGATCAAGTTGGCTTCCCTAATGCACACATTAAAATATCCTGGGACTCCAATCAATTCTTGCTGTTAACTGTGGTGTGAGCACTTCTCTCCCTGGATGCATAGAGAATTCATGTCCATCGACATGAGACATCTGCATACTCAAGGGTATGAAAGCCTCCAGTTAGTAAATATTTTGTAAATTTCAGTCACAATTTTCTAACATCTTAGGACTTTTCTGCATTTTAGTTTGTTCCAAGTGTTTTCCTTAGTGCCTGGACAGTGTTAATCTGGAGGTCTAAGTTCACTCATATTGCAGTGATTACAGGAACACTCATGGTCAGTTTTCCTGGGAGATGAATCTGCCTACTATGTGGGTGTCTTTAGGAATTTTGAATGGGATAACTTCTAAAGGAATTTACTAACACTAAAAATTACTTTTTGTCTGCCTTAGTAGACATGTGCACACATTTACTATACAAATTCCTGGTTGATAAGAGAGAAACATAGTAGGTAAGGTGAATTAGTACATTTTAAGTTTTTTAAAATTAAAAAAAAATTTTTTTTTTAGGCAATTGGGGTTAAGTGACTTGCCCAGGATCACACAGCTAGTAAGTGTCAAGTGTTTGGTCTGAGGTTAGATTTGAACTCAGGTCCTCCTGACTGCAGAGCTGGTGCTCTATCCACTGCACCACCTAGCTGCCCCTCATTTTAAGTTTTTTTTCCCTAAATTAGCACCATTATAAGCATTGTGCACATCAGCACTAGAAATGCTTACTTATTTTCATATCTGTTTCCTTGAGTAATCACTTAACCTCACTCAACATGTCAGGCTGACATTTTGCTTGATCTGTTTTTCATCACTTGGTGTACTTGCAGCATTCATTGTCCAGTTTTATAGTTAAAAATCATCATCCAGGGCTTCGTTACCTACAGAAAATAAAGATGAAATTTTGCAAGGATGGTCTCTCTGTAAATCCTTTATGAGAATCCCCATCAGTCTTCCAGGTTTCTGAGGAGTATTACTTGACATTGAGTCTCATTGGTATTTAGGGAGGATATACTAGGTGTATAACAGTATAGTAGGATCCCTTTATGTCAAGATCTGCCACAGGTGAGGGTGTGCTCTCAACACAACTGAAAGTCAACTGAAAAAGTGAGAAATCACTGCAGCACCAACTGTGGAAATTTGGTATCCATGTACTGGGGTGGGGTGTTGGGGAGAGTGAGAGAAAGAGGGAGACAGAGACAGGGAACAATAAACGTTTATTAAATACCTTTTATGAACACAGATAAGTAACTTTGAAGAGAGAAAGCTTATTAGCAACTGGAGCAATTAGAGGGTGCTTCACAGAGAAGGAAGGCTCTAAGCTTATTGGAACAACAAATAATAAATTTCTTTTGAATGCAAAGCAAGATGAAAACAACAGTTCCTGCTCTCATAAAAAAAGGTTGTGTCAAATCAGTATAAAATTAAATGTTTAAAACAAGAACTGAGAGTGGAACAATGCTCTGCAATGGCCAGACCAAAGCTGGACTGCTGAGTCTGATTCTATGAATAGTATTTAAGAGGCACGTTGACAAACCAGAGCAGGCTCAAAGAAGATGACCAGAATTGGGAAGAGTTGGGAGCTATGTCATATAAGGAAAGATTGAAGGAATTTGGAATGTTTAGTCTGGATGGAGAAGACTTCAGGGGAATGAGATAGCAGTCTTCAAATATTTAAAGGATTGTCAAGTGATAGAGGAATGAGATTCACTTAATCTCTTAGTTAACATAATCCTCTGACCAGCCAAGGGCAATCTGTTTCTGTTGTGCAATGGCTGTAGAAATCCAAGATGACGCCACTCCACTTTAGAAAGGAGAATGGAAAGGTATTTGCTACCTCTTTTCCTTTGTTGTTCCAGTGACTGTAGACAAAAGCACTGCCATCTTACAAATGATTCTGTTGTTGTCCAGTCACCAGAAGAGTACCTTTTTCATAGTTAATTACCACATCTGCTCTTGGACCTTGTATGATGCAAATATGACCTCAGTATTTCTGTTCTAATAGCAGAAGATTTCCCTTGTTCCACCTCCCTTTCTCAGCAAAATCTGACTCATAAAAATGAACTACAGGTATATTCAGAGGAACAACTCTAATACATTCTTGTTTGTGCACTGCACAAATAAGGCATACTAAATGATTATTGATTTGTGTTGTGTTTATCCCAGCTAAGTCTATATGAAAATGTTTCAGACAAGTAATTTTTTTAGCAATGCTGATTTCTTTTGCAATTACAGTGGAAAGAGTGGTACAAAAGTTCTAGAATCAGAGGACCTGGGTTCAAATTCCTTTGACACTACCTTTGTCCCTTCCATGTCCCTGAATTTTTCCTGTCTTCATCTCTTCCTTTTGACTTCCACCTTCTTCATAGTGTCTTTCTTCATCTCAGTTTTTTAAAAAATTTTATTGATATTTTCTGTTTCTTACATCATCATTACCAGTGTCTTTTCTCTTCCCAAAGAGATATAACAAGCAGTATATTTTTAGAGGAAGAAGTCAGCACAACTGATCAATACATTGAAAAAGTTTGAAAACGTGAAATATGTAACCTCTGTGGACCTACCTCCAGGAAAAGGTGGATTGGGGGATGTCTATTCATTTTTCTTCATTTGAGTTATGTCTGATCTATAATTTTGTTATATTTACTTTTGATTTTTTGGGTTTTTTGTTTTTGGGAGAGACAATTGGGCTTAAGTGACTTGCTCAGTGTCACACAGCTAGTAAGTGTCAAGTGTCTGGTCTGAGGTGAGATTTGAACTCAGAGCCTCCTGACTCCAGGCCCAGTCCTGTGCCCACTGTGCCACATAGCTGCCCCTGGTTTGTTCTTTACATTTCCATTGTTGTAATTATTTTGTATATTCTTTTCTTGGTTCTTACTTCACTCTGCATCAGTTCACATAGATCTTTCCATGCTTCTCTGTATTTATTACCTAAATCATTTTTTTTCTTTTTTAAATTAATTTATTTTTAATTATCAACAATCACTTCCATAAGCTTTTGAGTTTTAAATTTTTCTCCCTCTCCCTCCCCTAGATGGCGTGCAATCTGATATAGGCTATACATATACATTCCTATTAAACATATTTTCACATTAGTGATGTTTTAAGTAAGAATTAGAACCAATAAGAGGAATCACCAGAAAGAGGAAACAAAACAAAAACAGAAGAAAAAAAAATAGCAAATCTGCATTCAAAACTCCATAGTTCTTTCTTCTTTGTGGATGGCATTTTTCATCACGAGGCCTTTGGAGATGTCTTAGATCCTTGTACTGCTGAGAAGGGTTAAGTTTCTCAATATTAGTCATCACACAACTTGGCTGTAACTGTGTATAATGTTCTCCTGGTTCTGCTCATTTCACTCAATATCAGACCATACAAGTCTTTCCAAGTTTTTCTGAAGTCAGTCTGTTCACCATTTCTTATAGCACAATAGTATTCCATTACATTCATATACTTGCTCAGCCGTTCCCCAATTGATGGACATATATCATTTCTTACAGCACAGTAAGATTCCGTTACATTCGTGTACCACAATTTATTTTTCCCTAATTGATGGGGATCTACCTTGCTATTGCAAAAAGTTTTGCTATTAAATATATTTATGTAAATGGGAACTTTCTTCTTATTGATGGTTTCCTTGGAGTATCATCGTAGTAACAGTCTCTGGTTTAAAGGATATTGACTTTTTAGTCAATTTATTTGCATAATTCCAAATTGCTTTCCAAAATGGTTGGAATATTTCATAACTCCACCAACAATATTAGTGTGCTTATCATTCCACAACTCCTCCAACATTGACTGTTGCTATTTTTGTTATCTTTTATCAATTCACAGGATGTGAGGTGACACCTCAGAGTTGTTTTAATTTGTATTTTTCTTATTATTAGTGATTTAAATCAGCGATGTCAAGTAGAAACGGGGACCACTCAACTGTACATAAGGATTCCTGCAGGCTGCATATTTGCTTAGAAAACTACATGTTAACATAATCTTCTATTGCGCTTTTATTTATTTTGTTAAACGTTTTCCAGGGACATTTTAATCTGGTTCAGGCTGCTCTGCTGGGCAGTATATTTGATACCTCTGATTTAAAACATTCTTGCATGTGATTGTGAATACCTTACAATTCTTTTCAGAACTGTTCATATATATCTTTTGAACACTTATCTACTGGGGGAATGGACTTCATTTCTCTCAATGCTAGTGTCTTCCCTCTAATTTTATTGCCAGTTGATCCTGTATATATCTTGTTTGTACTGAGTTGTTTATATGTTGTCTCCGCTATGAGATTGTGAGGTCTTTGGGGGCAGGGACTCTTTTCTTTCTTTTCTTCTTTCCCTCCCTCCCTCCTTTCCTCCCTCCTTCTCTTGCTCCCTTCTTCCTTCCTTCCTTCCTTCCTTCCTTCCTTCCTTCCTTCCTTCCTTCACT